AGAGAGAGAGAACATGCATTCTGCACCCAGAGAGGTCCAGGGCCGAGATTTGATCCGGTAACCTTCTCACTGAGAGGCAACAGCTCTACCCACTGATCCACCGCGCTGCAATATTAAACACTTTGGAATTAAATTTTTGGACGACAGTGATCTGCTTCCGTCATAAGACCAGTCCAAGCAGCCATCGCTCTGCTCTCATCAGAAATGATCCAGTTCTGTACATTGAGGTTGTTCAAAAACGGATGTTCAGCAGGTAAGATACTTACAGTTCATAACATTTCCACAAAACCGTACATCAACAAATCTGAACCATTCTTTTAAGTTTTGCAACAGAAATTTTATTTTTGCTTAACCCTCCTGCTACCTTTGGGTCAAAACGGTCCCAAGGCCTATGAGTGAGTCAAGGACAGCAGCAGGGTTAAACGGTGGAACTGTACCGTCCTGCAGGCGCTCTGGCTCCCTCGAGCGGCAGCAGGAATTATCAGATTATTTTAGGATTGCCTCGTTGCGTTTCCTCTGCATGCTGCAGTGAGTTCATGATGAGGGACGTCCTCTGCTCCCAGAAACGTTTCACGTCCAACATCTCACCAAGGAGGTGTTTCCTCTAAAAGCAAATTAACTTGAATTTATTCTGACAGGCGAAAAACATAAATAAAAATGCACAATGCTCTGTATGTATACAAATATTTTATACATTACAACCAAGTTAAGGAAACAAATACAGCCAACAGTCACGTTCGTCATTCTGCTGCACAACGAGACACTGATCCTCTTAAGGCACCAGAACATAAAACGAAAAAGACAGATTGGATCTAAAGTTATCCAGAACCCCACAACCCACCAAGTTCCCAAAGCTCTTTTTCTACCAGCACAAACAATTCAAGATTCAGTCTTCAAGCAGATACTTCAGAGTATTCCAGCACTGCAGCAAGAACTTCAGTATTTGAAGAATTAAGTTGTTCTCACGTTTGTCTCAACTATCTTTTGTCCCGTCTCATATTTTCAGATTTGCATTAACCAGAATCATAAATCAGCATTTTTAGAAAGATCCGGTTTGTTTAATGTTCTTCAGAACAGAACCAAAGCACGAGCAGCGTGTTAATGTGCCAACAGGAGTGAAGTCCCAAAGAAGCTCCAGCTTGTGCTGGACTTCACATGAAGCCACGAGTCTCCGTGTTTGGACCAGAGCAACGTTTCATGAACTCACGACTGCAGAACCGGGCCTGTTCACCCTGCAGGCGTGGTGTCATCGTGACCATCAGCAGTTTTAGGTTTGTGTCCGTTTAGCCCACTGACATTCATTTAAATGCAGAAATGACTAAATAAATTAAACATATAAAGCATTTTGCACGTGGACCATCTTTAAGGAGGCTCCTGTAAAGCTCCTCGTAGAAAATGTTTTGTGCTTTTTGTCTGCATCAACCCTACAACCGTTGTGATGTGCAGCTCTTTGTGCATTCACTTTTACAAGGCCTGCTCCTGAATACATTATGAAACTCTGAATGTGCATCTTATGGGTAATATAACTTTAATCTTTAACGCATTTTGTAGCAATTTCTCAAATAGGTCCAGGAAATCTGTGCATGACAGTTTGCAGCTTCTGTTCCAACGAACAATCAGTTCAGAGTTTAAATTAAAACGACGGCTTGATTCTTTGCACACCGACATGATCAGTTTTACTCGAACTTAATCATTATTAAAAAATAAAATCCTACTGAATGGAGGTGAAGCTAGAAAAGTAGAGGGGCGGGGCTAATTTATATGTTTACACTTACAAAAAAGAAGAGTGTTAATAACTTTTAGGGGTTTAATTTATAAAACACATTTGTCTTAATTACAGATAAGGAAACTGCATGCAAAAAAAAAAAAAGAAACTCCTGGTCCACATTTGAACTCTGGCCTCAGTTCACAGTGCTGTATGTTTGAGTAGACCCTCACAAAATCCTCTTTTAATTAAAATTCTTGGCACTAAAGTTAGTAAACATCCTGTAACTTTACTTCTGTCTTTTTGTCCACATGTGAGACTTAAATCCTCACTAGAGGAACTTTAGAAGCTGCTCCCCTGCAAACCAGGATTAAAAAAACTGAACCCAGATTTAAAAATCAGCGTTTCACGTCCAGAAGCGTTTTACTAAAACTTGTCCCGTTTGCAGTTTATCTGTTTTTTTTATTTTTATTTAAACTGCGATGTTTTTGCAGCATTAATGAGCTGTTGCGGCGTCTGTTATTCATAAATATGCAGTCCCACAATTTAGATTTTAAAGCATTTCAGATAGTGAAGACGATGCTAATTAATGGATGTAAAGTAAACTGAACTGCTCCGCTCCTGTCAGTGTTTGTTAAATTCACCTGTAAAACAGAAGCAGATTTACCTCCATTTGTGTGACACGAGTTGTGAAACAAATAAAAATAAAGTGATTTAAAACCTAAATGACAGGTTTGAGATTGAGGGCCCGCCTCAGTGAGAAGAAACGTTTCTAATTCATTTGGCAACGAGAAAAGCTGAAAAAAGACAAACTGGAAATGCATAAAACTCAAAACACAAATTAACGATTAAAAAAAAAGTTTTTGTTCCTGTTTGGTGTTCACACTGACGTTACACGAATCACAACCTCTCCTGAGTCGGCGTCCTGGCTGAGGCTGTTTCGGGGCACCAGCCCGGGGCAGAGCGGTGCCAGACAGAGGCAGGTCCACGGCTGGGGCCCGAGCTGGGTGGGGTGCAGGGGGCCGCTGGGCCCAAAGGTGGCCAGAGGCAACCAGAGCGTCCTGGGGCCCAAAGAGGAGCGGCCAGTGCTCGTCTCCTCCATGTCCTTGGCCTTGTCATAACTCTGAACGTCCCAGTGCAGATTCACGGCCCGCCAGCGCATGAAGACGTTGTACACGGCTGCTCCCTCGTGGACAATCAGTCCTGTTACGACATCAACGTTCATAAAGTTACATTTTGGATGTTTGAAAATATTAAACATACTTTGCATCATATGTTGTCTCAGTAACACTATTACAATACGGTAGTCCCTCGCTACTTCATGGATCGTTTATCACAGACTCGCTCTATCGTGGTTTTTCAAAATAAGAGTGGACAAGACACACAACGGGCTGATTGGCGGATGAGCCGCACGATCGTCATGGAAATTTTATTTAAAATGAATTATTTTAAATTATTCAGTGCCTCCTACACCTCTGTACAGCCCATACTGCAGGATAAACTTTCTGCTGCAGCTGATCAGCTGTTCTCTGTGCAGAGTGGAGAAGTGGGCGTGGCCAAGAGCGCTTGCAGGCTGCTGAGAGCAGAGGAGGCAGAGAGCTGAAATCATGACATTCTGTGCTCTTTTAGAGCGTTTAGAGTTTAGAAACATTGTTTAGAATATTGCAAGATATATATATATATATATAATAACATAAACTACTAGTTACTACTTGTACTACTATTCCTACTTCACAGTTTTTCACTTGTCATGGGGCTTCAGGGTACGGATCCCCCGCGATAAACGAGGGACTACTGTACACAAATTAAGCATTTAATAGGCTGCATGTGATAAATATCAACTTAAAATAAGAGAGAGCATGACAGCAGCTCGTTTCCTCATCCGTTTACCTGCTCTGCACTAGACGGTTTTGTGGTTTACCACAAACTTGGCAGGTATTTTGCGTGGGACCAACCAAAAGTAAGATTTAAATAGGATTTTCCTTCTGTTTCGTAGCTTAAGGAAGGATAATTCAATCCTCCCCAGATGTTTTGTCCATTACTGCACATATTTACTGCATAAATAAGGTGTAAAGGTATAAATAAAGTTGAATGAATGAATATTTGCAGTGTGTGTGCACTCTGGACAAAATGTCCACAGTTTAACACTGACCCACGCAGACCAGGTCCATGAAGCCGTACATGCCGTAACAAATCTGGAAGAGGACGTCGCGGCGCTGCCAGATGGCCTGCGGGCTGAAAGCCGACCACAGCAGCCAGGAGATGCTGGCCACCAGGAAGAGAGAGCCCAGGAAGACTGCGATGATCTGCACCTTCTCCACCAGCGTGATGGTGATGGACTGCCACTGAGGACAGGACAGGCAACGTTAAAGACACTGAAATAAAAACATGAGCGTCACTCACTTTTACCTGCTCAAAATAAAGTTTTATTCCCATCTGCTGCAGGGGGGCAGTGATCAAAATCATGAGCAAATTAAAACTCACTTTGATAAACTCCATTAATTTCATTCATGTGCTCTAAAGGTACAAACAAGTCAAAACTTCTCAACTAAAGCTTCGTCCTAATCTACTTTATTTTTTAATTTCAGGCCTTCAGCTGCATCTGACAGAGCTTGTTCCTCAAGGGCAGGAACAAGGAGCTGAACTGCTCCTTCTACAGGATGCTGGAGTTACAAAAAGCACCGTGACTAACCAGAAAATCTCCACGAGCACGAAAAACTGATGAGGGGAAGTGGAAGGAAACACAGACAGATAACCGGTGAGTGGGAGAAAATCAATGCAAAGGAAACAAAAAGGAGAATAAAAGTAAAAATGGAGATAACAGATTACAACAATGTTGCAAACGCACCAAACTGCAGAGTGTGAGTTTATTCTGAGACAACTTCCATCTGCAGCAGATAGACCTGAAGCTTCCTCTGTGGGAGAATCAGGACAAATCTCTGATCTTTTCATTCCCTTAAGGTGGATTTATATCTCTAGATTTACTAAAGTTTTTATTTGGTGGAACTATGTTGTTGAACGAGGCTCGGTTTGAGTCATTTCTGCCTCTTTTCACTAAATAAATGTGTCCAGAGAACCGACTTAAAGCTTGAAACAAAGCTTTAAAAACTTTAATGAAGCAACTCGTTAAGCTTTAATTAAAGTCTACTTATAATATATA